GAATAATTAATGCGGCTAACTCTACTGAACACGATGGCGTTCGTCGTTGCCGTCACATAATGATGTGCTAAACTATTGGTTCGTATGACAAAATGTAGCGCTTCAGTTTTGCAAGATGGTTGGTCCCGCTTTGTCTAAGAGTTCCAACCAACACCATGCAACTTCTTTTAGGATTCCTCATGAAATCACTTTATTCACGGGCAGATTGAATTCCAATCCTAGCACTGGTATTGGCAGCCAGATATACTGGGTAGAGTCAGTGTTTGAGAAGTATTACAATTTCAAGTAGTCCCTGTACACTAGATCAAGTCAAGTGGCCTTTTCCAACAGAAGTGAAAACGTGCAGTTATAAATCAGTCAACTGGAAACTCAGTCTGAGAGCTTTTATGAAAATGTTGGACGTGCTGAAATCAAAGAGTTGGGAACAACATAAAGTATGAACTCAGCAAGCCTTTAATCAGATTATTTGTCTGCAGGCATTAGGAATTATACATAGTTTACTTTTAAAGCCTTAAAAACTAATTTGGACAATGTTAAATGTCATTTAAAAATCAAACAACATATTTGATTAATATCTAGTTATTTGATGAAGCGATTCCTTGTTGTTAAACATTTTTCTTTTATAATACACTGTATAGCACATTTAAAGCTGTAATCTTATTATACTTGCAGTGTTTAAAACGGATTGGCTTATTTTAATAGCAGATTTAGATCTTAGACAGACAAGGTGTAAGCTGGTCATTTCAAAGCCATATGCCACAGATTAAGATACGGCATTATATTGTACAGCTTTTTCATGTTTCTTCTGGAGACTAATGCAGTGCTTCAAAACTGCCTGTAGTGAGCTGCTTGTAAGTGGGGAAAAGCACAAGCTCTTAAATCCCTCAGCTCTGACAACAGGAGAAAGAAATAAGTATATTACAAATCGCCCAGAGAACAAAATTGTGTATTGTTTGAAAAATGTGAAGGATTTAGACTCAGGGATTTGCTCCCACTTTGCTGCACTTTGTCTGAGGGCTTAGTTCTGTTTGCCGTTCATGACATGATGATTCCCATCATGCACAAATAATGCTTTTCAGGACTTCATAAGGTCAAGAACAGATTGAAAAAAATAGAATAACATAAAAATAAAAACACAGGATTTAATAATTCAATTGCAAACCTTAAGTGATCACAAGTGCAGTCCCACGGATCAGAACAAGGCCACTGATACTTACACAAATCCACAGGAGGAGTTTGTGAGCCAACATGGGTCGGAAATGATATTTTTAGCAACTTCTTGCTTTTACTTTACAATTAAACCGAGCACTTAGTGAATCCAGGAAAAGGTGCTGCAGATGCCTAGAAGGCGGTTCTTTTTAACACTGTGGAGAGGATGCCACTGAGTCAGTAGAGAAAATCAGCTGAAAGAGAACTTCCTTCATATTCGAGGGAAGAAATGCATCGCATATCATTATGCATTCCTGTTTTTGATGTGTTGATGAAGTGTTGCAATTTAGCCCAAAGGGACAGGTACAATTCATCATGCTTAATTGTTCTGGATGTGCAGTTCTGTAAAAGCCAGCTGTAAGACGCAGGGGGGTTGGACATAAAAACACACATGCTAATGATATTAATTTGCAGCTTTTATCTATTTGTCGAGACAGAGGAGGAAATATCAAAACCTTCGGAACATCGTGTGACAAAGGAGGCGACATCAGAAAGACTGATGGCGGGTGGTGAAGTAAGCCTGGAGGGGGGAGCAAGAGCCCATAAAATGAACAGCCGCCTAACTCATAAATAATAGAAACATAAAATGTCATATGAACTTTATTTCAAGAGTGGGTGGTCTAATAAAGATGCAGGTTTAAAGAGGAGTTGAGAAATTCATTGTCATAAGAAGGCCACATGGCTTGCCTTTGGCACAGACAATTATTCAGTGCAAGTTGACATTCTGGTCCAAGCTGAGGCACCTTTACGAAACAATACCACGTTTGACTCCTGAAATTCTCTTTCTACCAACATGGCTTTTAAGTATTTCAATCTCTCAGCTCTATTTCTTCCTCTTCACTTGGAGCCTTTCCATCTCCTCTCCACTCTTTCTAGTTCTCTCTGCTTTACAAATGCAGTCGACATAATGTGAGATTGCCACCGCCTGCCGGCCTGGTGTTCATTGATAAAACCAAATCGCATCCATCTTAGGCCGCCATCTGTCACCAACGCACTTGTCGTCTGAGACGGTCAACATCCACAGGACCCATCTCTCTTTTTAAACTGAGCAGCACAGAGTCAGGGTTTATCTTTTAACTTCTGGAAGTAGAAAATGAAGCCAGATGAGCCAGGCGACATTCACTCACTCAAGTGATGTGCGAGAGTGTGCATGTGTTAAATCAGTGGCATCTAACAGCAAATGAAGGACCTTTATTGACTTTAGGCGAGAATATATGGGGTGTAAAGTCAATTTACCTAAATTATAGAAATATTAAATATTACATTCCTGTATGTCTTGGCAGCCTGGAAACTCAAGCAATATGAACACTGCATATTTCTACATATATTTTATAAGGGATAATATTAATCATATCACTTCTTATGGTGTTTACTCAACCCTCAAATGCCATAAGGCACCTTTTTATGGTTTTATCAGTAAGAATTACATTTAATATAATTTGGTGGGATATCGTTACAACAAAGTATTACTAGGGGGATTTTGGTCAAATAACTAAACTGACTTTTCCAATTACCAATTTTAAACTCTCTCTCAGTTAGTCTGTTAAAACACTCACACTCTGATTTATAATGCAGCAATTTGTATAAGTACACATGCATTTACTACATTAGCATGGTTTTCTATCTAAAACTAATCCACTTCAACAAATATTACCCCAGAGGGAAAATGGGTAATAAGTGCAGTATTTGAGTAAGTTTATGAAGTATGAGATGTTTATGTCACTGAATATTAATGAGATGATGAGCAATTGCCTCTGTATGTGAATGAATCACATATATGAATCACTTCTGTCACTGTGGTGAATATATTAAAAGGGAACAGCTGGGGAAGGAGAAGTTTGATCATTAGATGTAGGTGTTTCTATGTGTGTTTATACACGTGCCTGGTGTGCAAATATGTGTGTGTGTGTGTGTGTGTGTGTGTGTGTGTGTGTGTGTGTGTGTGTGTGTGTGTGTGTGTGTGTGTGTGTGTGTGCATGCGTGTGTGTCTGTGGGGAATGGAGGTCAGCTGGTTGTGTGTAGCTATGTTGTAAATATTGAAAGCTTTTAGATGTGCAGCTCCACTAACATGGAACAGTCTGCAAAAAGAATGGAAAATTACCAAGCTAGTACCACTACATGTTTTTAAAGCTCGGTTGGATGCTACAAAATCAGATGCTGTTGGTACCTGTACATGTGGTTAGATATGTAAATTGTAATCCCTGTACATTTTGCTGTATGATGTCCTTTTATTGTTCTGTTGTTGTTTTTATGTCTTCTTGTGGAACCTACTGCTGCAGGTCTCCCTTGAAAAAGAGATCATTGATCTCAATGGGATTTTACCTGGATAAATAAAGGTTTTGAATTGAATTGAAATTGTAAACTTGTAATATCTTCTTATCAGAAATATAAAATATAAAACAATTACATATGTAGCGGACCATTGCATGTAAATGAACAGGAATCTATCGCCAGGATGTCACCCATCTTGTCTAATGTCTAACAAATGCATTCACAATCACACTCTCTCACTGACACCCATGCCCCAGACCTGTCAACACAGCTGTTGTGGAGGCAGATGCACCATGGGCCGTTGTCTCACTTACAACTATGACACAATGGCTGTACTGCACGTAGGTGTATGCAAAGCAATCTATTTCTACCTGTCCTGTAGATGGTTTCTCTGCCGGATAGAATAAGAAAAGAACACACTTGTGTTGTTGACAGGTAACTCTGTGCAATGGCTAATGCATTTCTAGGAATGATACACACAGGCCACAGGAGGAGTGAAGGTCTACACATATATGAGCCTCCACCAAGCCTGTAATATATGATGCAGGGTTACCTCCAGAAAATAAAATCTAACCCACCAGGACTATAATACCGAGCCTGATATGGAGGGGGTTGGTATGTGACAAGGACAGTGATAGGGGACTCAGAATAGCCTTGTTCATGTTAAGGTGGAGCAAAATCATTTCAGCAGCATCATTGGCATGCTGCTGGTTCACGGGCTTTGGATCCACACTATGGTTGGTGGAAAAACCCAGGGTCCTCTGTTGTGTGTCTTAATCACATTTCTTTTTCCACTCAGCCAGTTATTTGAGCCATGATTTTTTTTTATTGTTGTTTATGTATGAGGAAAGAGTTGTGGTTCCCATCGTTCAATGGGGCTTTTTTATGTAGAACGTCATTGGGCAGTAAGCCATACAGTGACAGCTGTCTTCTGAATCATTTGAATAAATTGAGCAAAATAGTCTCAACTTCAGAGGTATAATTCCCCCATTGCTTATGTTACAACATTTGAAAAATACATTTTGGCAAAATAAATTGTCGATATTAAATGCACCGTTGTGCAAGTTACACCCTTAATATTATGTGTGCACTCCCTTGACAACAGATTTGCAGCTTGTTTTGATTAAATCCAATTTATTTGCATTTCTAATACGAATGAGAGGGGTTTTTGGTTTTAAATCTTAATAAGTAGAACTCAACAAAACTGTTGTACCACTTATCTAAAGAATGACCTCACAGAAGCATTATGTGTAGCAGACATATTTATGTGTAGGTAGCTTGTTACTAGGTTTTTTACTGAAAATTGTATCTTGTTAAAAGTTTGGAAGGAAGTCATGTTCCTATGACTAACACAACTGTTATCCCTTGAAATAATTTTACTGCATAACAACACAGATGGCCACTTGTAAATTACATTATGTTGAAACAGCCAAAATAAATAACGCAACATTTAGAAAAAATGAGAAAAACTAAATATCATAATGCGCCTGCTGTCTGAGTAAAAAGTAAAAAGTACTCACTAGATTCAGGGTCTGAGTTTCCATCTCCCTCGGTGCGGCTGTTAGGTGATGTTTGCTCATAGTACTCCTCCTGGGGGAAGCTGAGGGGAAGGGGCTGGGTGGTGCTGGCCGTGCTGCTTGGCTCCGGGTCTCCCAACCCGCTGTCACTGCAGCTCTCCTGGGAACCGTCTGGAAGATGGAACGTCACGCGGCGCTGCGTCTGGAGCAAACCAACAAACAGAAAGGTTCTGTTAGAAACCCCTGTGTAAAATGTGCAAAAGGTGTAAAAAAATAGGAAATAAAACAGTGTAGTGTAGCTAAGAGTGCAATACACATTACAAATCATTACATGACAAGTTTGTGGAGTGAAAAAGGAATAGCGGATGTATGGCTCCAGCCAATGGGGAGCTGTTATTCTGAAGGTCACGCCTATAGTCTCCTATTCAAGGCCCAAGCATTAGAAAGGACAAACACCATAAAGATAATTGTTCTAATTATCAAACAACATCTTTTTCTAGGGCCCTTGATTGTGTAATGACTCAAATACTAAGTACAGTAATACAATGAAGAAAAAAAGGTTGGAAATAAAATAAAATGTCCAGGTTGAGAGAGAATTTAGCTTCCACCATAAGTCAAATGAAGAGGAAATGCTTGGTGATCACAGCATTGAAATATGACATTGAAAAGTATCAAGGTGTTCTTGATAACTTTATAGAACATTATCAAAAGAGTTTTTGCAGGGACGTTGTTTGCAGAAGAGAGAAGTTCCATCGCCATATATTCTAGTGAGTTATAAGCTACAAGGAAATGTTCTGGATATACACATTGATTCTTTGTGGTAAATGGAAAAAAAGTTACCACATTAGAAATTCCTTTCTTCTCAATTGTATTGAGATACAGGACACAAATATCTGAGATTGCAAAACCTGGGCATTCAAAACCGTAACTCACTGCAGGGTTATATCAGCTAAGGGAATGACCAACCTTGTAAAAAGACAATGTCATCGTCAATCCAACGTTTGAGATTTGACCTCAGATAGTGCTTGTCTTTAGTGTTTTTCTCAACAAAACACTGACAAATGTATTGGTCACCAGAGAGAGAGTATTTAAAATCCAGTCCTGTCGTTCCTGAGATGAATGCACATCGGTATAAAACTACGAATCGTTTATAACTGTTCTCTCTACTCCTAAAGACAGTCCTTGTTTATGGGTAAATGAGTAATGTGAGATGGTATTTACAAGGGAAATCCATTCCTAATTGTATCAGAGGTTATTGTTAGATAACAACCATTGCATCTATCATCTTCAACTGCTTTTAGTTATAAAATATGGCAAAATGGCATCCTATCACTAGGGGCACTAATTGAAACAGTGACCTCATAACCCAAAAATGATTTCTAGCCTGTTGAGTTTAGTGAATTACTTTCCAGATATTAAACCCAGTAAAAGATTTATAATTGCAACTTCCCGTCCTGATAAAGATTGGATGTGTATTAACAGGTTGAACTATGTCCTAGTTTCCCTCTCACCCAGTTTAGACACAAAATAAGTGGAATGTGTGTGGAGGCTGAGACTTTGATTTGTAAAGTCTTGGAGATCACAGGAGTGTGGGCATTTTCTTCTGAAAGGTGCAGGCCTCTTTGATTTCTCTGGTGGTTTACAGAAGTTCATGTTGCGACCTTTCTTCGGAGCTTAAAAAAGAAAAACAAATCCTGTGTGGGGAGCGATGTCTGCTATCATGTTCGCGATTCCTCCAGAAAACAAACCGCACAGTTACACTCATTCATTTTGTGAGGCACCGTGGGTTCTGTAGATACCACTGATTTCATATTTTTCTTCAGTTTTTGTCATATAATTTCCCTCTACTTTGACAAAAAAATGAGTAGCGAGGTGATCTGACATAGCTTTGAGGTAATATCGGTAAAATTGTCATAGTGATATATTCTGTTGCTTAAATTCCTGTCTTCACATGACTCCCTGAGTAGCATCATACTGCCTCACACTGTATAGGAGCATAAAACACATAAAATATAATTACGCCCTCAGCTTCGGTTATTGCGGTGAATTTTATATATCCCATTATTCAAACTGATAAGAGATTTTTTTTCAAAGCAAATATAACTATCTTGATTTTCTTCATCGCTGTAGCAAGAAGAGCAATATGCAAGTCCTGAATTTAAAAACATTATTAAGACACGCTCCTTTAAGCTCAGGAGGAGGTGATGTCTCTGTGTGAAAATACTTTACCGCTTATTGTTCTTTGATAAGACTAAATAAGGCTTAGAAAATTGGAGCGCAGGAGAGTGAAATAAAGTCTGCCACTAATGAAGGACAAACTGCCAAAAACTAAGTGCACAAAAAAGCTTCATTTAAAAACTATCAGAGAGGGTTGACTAACCTAAATCCACACAATTAGCACTCTGAAAGCACAACTGAGTGGTTTTCAATGCTGTGATGTTGAAACAGCTAGCTTATTATTCTATTTACTTGATTCATCTAGATCCCGAGGCCACACAAATCACTGTGTGTGTGTGTGTGTGTGTGTGTGTGTGTGTGTGTGTGTGTGTGTGTGTGTGTGTGTGTGTGTGTGTGTGTGTGTGTGTGTCTGAGTGAGTGTGTGCCACCAAGTAAAAGACAGGTGAGAAATAAAGAGAAAAAGGGCATGCAGTCAAAGAAACGAACCAAGAAACACACACAACCTTCAACCTGTGTGAGATAACAACTCAAAAACAAATGCTTTTTGTTGCTGTTGATTATATTAAGAAAATAAGACAGTAAAGAGCTCAGTATCTGTTCATATGCACCATACACATTTATGACCAATCTGCAAATATTTTATGCAGGACTCCTTTAAATTAATCTTGTTTTTCCAGCAGTTTGTGCATATTTTGCTGCCAAATGATGAGGTGTATTTCTAAGGTTCGGTATGAAAGAGCTTTTTTTCCACTCTTCATGCGGATGTATTCATTTCCTAAGACAGAGAGGAGAAGGATACCTTGTTGGCAAAATCATATAGTTCTATGTGCCATGTTTGCCTACGCTTTTCAAGGAGTCTAAATATCTCTTGTTCTCAAACAGCGTTGGCAGCTGTTTCTCCAATTACTTGAGGATGCACGATAAAAGTCCAGGTTCCAGCAAAAGAAAGAGCCCACTTATGGAAGGTTGGCAGCTCTACAAAAAGCAAGCTTCCTCTCCACATGACTCTAATTATTGGAAATTTGCTCCAACAATGGCATCCAGAATCTATTAGAACAAACAGCTGTCTGTGACAATTAGGACATAATCATTTTGCATAAGGGAGTGTGTTCATTTTAGACGGCTGTTTATTCAAGCACATTCAGGTCGGTGCAAGATGTTAGGAAAAGCCGCATTTGATTTTACAATGAACTCAATGCTAAGACGTATTTAATTACAATGTTAAGTAGAACAAGCACCATTAAATGGAATGGAATAAATAAAACGTATGCTGTCAGAAGGATTGACTAAGGTGAATAAAACATCAATGTTGAAAGACAAACATTCACAGAGGAGTCAAGGTGAGTGTAAGCAAGGTAAGCATTATCACTTATTTAAAGAAGCTGCCAGAAATCCATAAAGCAAAGACAAGCTGCGGTAAGAGATATCAAGACCAAACAAAGCCCGTTCAGCCAGATAAAACACTGCCTTGAGAAGTATGTACACAGAGATAAAATGAACAGGAGAGATGGGTGCCAAGTTCTACCATATAACAAGCCAGCCAATCCAAAACCCTCCCTCTGGTAACCACCCAGACAATAGGCAGATTGGGCTGGATTCACACGTTACAGGATTAGAAGTCTGTTATATTTAGACGTAGAGGGAATAGCAGCCGACAACCATGTCCTTTAGAAGGCCACGGCTCTGAGTTTTATTAGGATGAACGTTACCCCCCAACTACTGCTCTCAAAAACAGCAAAGATTTCAGTCCTACACAGAGAAGTAGTTCTTGGCTGACAACCACCTCACTTTGAGTGATAAACAGGGACCACTTAGGAGTGAATCAGGGGAGATTGGCTCTGCCATTTCAGATAAGGATCAGCTTGCGGGTACACCTAGACCTGCATAAATCTTTTCAGAGGAGATGGTGATTTGTCATGTCTCACATGTCTTATAAGGAGGACAAAATAATAAAAACAGCATTGGCAAGGTATTTCTCCCAAAGGGTTGTGCCACATATTTCTATTCTGCTTGATGTCAAGATCGGGCAACATCCACACAAATCTGTTAGTGATTTCGCTTTGTGGGTGTGTCCTTCCTTTTTGTACACGCTGTTCCAGCGCGGCCTATTATGTGTGAGGTGATATGTCACTGTTTATGAAATGATGAGTTTGCGGGAACATGCAAGAAGGAGGTGATTGTAGCAGCTAGTGGGCAGACAGAATACTGGGTGATTTTTGACCTATGATTTATTTGATTGAATACATTGTAACTGTTAATGAGTCATATGCTATGATCTTTTTGTGCAACAAGAAATATGACAGTATTAATGCAAAGTATACCCCTGAATAAATCCACTTAAAGTAATATAAGAAAAACATCCAATTGAAAGTAAATACATTGGCATTTTACTCTCAGCAGAACTTAACAGTACATCTACTTCTGTTATATGTACAGCATCACAGAAACCCACGCACAACCTCACATATTTAAAAAGCTCTATACAAAATCAAAGATCATTCCATGAATGAGATAAATAGATAAGTTATTGCTGTAAGATAATAATTTTAAGATAAAAAAAGGGTTTTCTACAAGTGTTTCATAACCTTGATGGTTTCTCTCTTTTTAACCAACAGAACCTTTCAACTGAAGTTACAAGATTGAACTCTAACTGTGGTTTTCAAATGGAAACAATTATGTATATTCCTGGCAAGAAATAGTATAGGGGAGACATGCCGATTTGTTTAAGCTGTAACGTGTGAAAAAAGAAAGCAAATAGACATTTTAATGATGGAAATGCACATGCAAGAAGGAGCAGAGAACAGACTTACATTCACAGAGGTTATCTTGCCGAGTTGACAGGCCTCCTGCAAAGACAAAAGAACATTTCACATCACTGTCTGATTGGAACTCTGCAGAGGATTTACTATAGAAATGGATATGTGAAGCAAACAAAGGAAACTTCAGTGGGATCTTTCCAGTCAGAGTTCAAAATTGACACCCTCATAGATTTTGAGGTTTAAAATATATATATTTTTAAGTTTGAATTGAGATTTAGGGTACATATTGATTTCTTCCTCATGTTTGTCAAGCACATAAACGGTGGGTACGCCAACAAACTGACTGCAGAGCACACACCCTCTCCCCAGAACTGTAGAGAATAGGGCAAACCTGACATCCTGGCAACACAAGCCATACAACTGACACTTTGATAAAGATGTTTTCTCTGCATGTCAGAAAGCAAAGTGAGCAGAATATCAAATGAAGCATCAAAAAATAACAATAAACAGCGTCAAGCTTCTAAATTGGGAACAAAAGACACCCGCAAGCCTGCGAAATAGCATCCTCTCTCTGGGGACTGAGATAACTCACAGAGAGATAAGAGTATTTAATTTGTAATCACCAATTTTGTTTTCTTTGTACTGTGTATAATAATCCAAGTACATGACTTGATTTGCAAAGAAAATAGAATGAATCTGGCAGGGAGAAGCCACTGAGACAGGGGGAGAAGCAGAAAGGACTGCTGAGGTGGAACGGTAAAACAATGAACAGGAAACAAGTTCATGTCAACAGATTATCCCGCCATAATTGTTCAATAAGGGATGTTGCTACTAACTGAGCGATAACGGTACAACCAAAGCCATTCATCAAAAACAAAATGGAGCTTCAGGGTGGAGAACCAAACTAAATTAAGAAGTAAGGTCTCCAAACTTCTGACAAATAACTACCTGGCACAGTGATATCATTTGTATTGAAAAGTATTTATCACATACTGTACTGTATGTATACACTATATATATATATACACAACATGTTTGTGTGGAGACATATGAAGACATTTGAGAATTGTTTACCATTTAGACAACTAAAGTCATGCATGCATAACATTTAATGCTGAAATGTTCTGCTATAAGGAATGGTTAGTGTGGTTGATACTGTATATACAATTATTATAGGGAGAATGCACATGCAGGCTTTGCAAAAATGTAATATAGACACGATCTGACACATGACATGTTGTGCATATGGTGACATATATGTTATATATAAAAAGCTCTTATAACCTTGATATGAGCTGGAATTATTCATAACGTACTTATCACTACACCAAACTGTCATTAAGTCTGGAACTGCTATAGCACTAATCCCTAATAATTCATTGACAAGGATAATGAATGTAACATGTTTTAACTTTATGTTTTAGTATATGAGATTATTTTCAATATAAATAATTGCATATTTGAGCACACCAACATTTGTCAGGTCTATTTGAAGAGTAACTCATTTGCATCCACTGACTGGTCATTTAAAGCAAGGGTTTTACTTGAGGCTGCCATCAAGCAGTTGTTTCTTCTCCAAGTAATGTTTTATTCAGCATCTTGTGACACACACTTCAAGTTAGAGACCTTGCCAACCAATTAAATATATGATAATAATGTACATGGGAGATCTGAGAAGGTGACCTATGCTTGTCTCGTACTTAGATGACATTCAAAATAGTAATTGTACATCTGATTGCTGGAGCCCATAAATCAGAGAGATATCTATTTTTTTCTCCCCAGCAAGGATTGGTCAGTGACCCTCTCTCTGTTATACGCCTCTCAAACTAGTGGTTTCAAAGCACCCACATGCAAGCCTGGGAGAGAGAGTTATGCTTAAGATAAGTGCATTTGTTGGTGAACCACATCAAAGTACAGAGGGATGTCTTAGCGAGCAAAGGCAGTGGAGCTTGAACCGAGCCTTTGATCACCCCAGGCACTCTGATCATTAAAATATTGGATAAATAATTGATTAAAAACACCAGACCTTATTGTGTTCTGTTTCTGTATCCAAATGAATCCCAGTTTTGAGATACAGTGGCTGCACAATGAATACATGCATGTAGGTAGGAGTTAAGGAATCATATAGCATACTGTAGCATTATATGGAATGCATTTATACACACGTGAAGCACATGCTCACTATACAGTGCAGTCTATGAGTTCCCCAGCACTCAGTTACAGTACCAACCAGAGACGGGCTGAAGTGCTGCAATAACCCCTGGTCTCCAGTGAGGGTCTGAGCTATGGCATGGCAGGCTGGCACAGAGGGAGGGGGACTGGGTAATAATCAAAAGGCTTTGACAGAAGGTAGGTAAGAGTGCATTCCAGCTGTGCGTAGGTGACTGGAGGGTAGCTAATATTACATCTATGGCGGGAGCCTGCAGTGTGCAAGAGAAAGACAATGAATCCACTGTGTGCATAGCAACGATATTAAAAAAATAATTCCCATCAGCTTTTGTCTATACGATAATCATTTTCCTTCACTGCATTTATCATTACATTTATAGTATACAAAATAATCTGAATTAATACAAATATCAACACCTGGCCAGAGAATTCTTTATGTTATTACCATACATAGCTCGACAGTCCTGTACTGTTGTATGGGGAGAAAGTAAGGAATAGAACAGAAAGATATCTCTTAATAATTGTGAGGAAACAACAAACCTAATTATTAATTACAAATTCGAATTACAATTCATTGACAATTCTTAGAGAGCTATATCAGCTAATTTTGTGTTCCTACATCAACACTCTAAAAACATAATTTTTGGAATTCAAGCATATTCTCAGCCCCTAAACTGTGTGTAAAACATAAAAAACAGACTTGTATTCAAACAAAAATAACCAGAGGTACTGTTTCCCGAAAGCCATCTTCAAACACACAGCCAATTAAATAACTATGTCTGGATTTCAGGTCTAGTTATTCCAATTTCTCTGATGGGAAATTCCCCTGACCTCTCTGTCATCAAGCTCACAAAGGTACATGTCAACATTACATTGGAATATCAATCAACTTCATTTTCCTACTGCTCATTTTTAGCAATTACTAGAGCAGGTGTCAAAATGATCAGATTTCCAGCTTCACAAATACGTATTCTTCATAATAGAATCAGTGAGAAAAAACGTTTATATGTCCTAGCTAAATTGGCTGACCTCTTGAATCTGTCAGGAATAGGACATCAGAGTTGAGTTATTTAAATTAGCGTCTTTAGGCAAGTTTGTGAAAAACAGTTTTAAAAGAGTGTATAATGCGATAACTTCAAGCTACAGTGAAAACCTTAAAACCCCTCATCCCTGGGGTCCCCATGCTCCTAATAGTTTAACACTAATGAGATCTGCAACTCCCATCTCTACAGTCTCGAACATTTCCAGTAGACTTCGTAATGTAAATACATTTGAAGGTGTGAAGAAGCACCGAGTGAAGCAAAGGGACAGGAAGCCGGATAGCTAGCCAGTTTCTTAAGCGGCTACATATTGCCTTTGTGTATTTCACATTTGTTTTGAGTCAGATTAAGGTAGTCATTGGTGACTCACTCACTACCTCAGTTCTCCAGAAATATTAGGGCAGTGCCACTGTCTACAATGTGTTGAGAGATTGGGAGAAAAGCATGTAGCCTGCTATCCCTGAGCTGGATGTAGCTAAAATATCAAAAGAAGAAAATTAACAGTTTCTTCAGGTGTCATATTCACACATGCAAACATATGCACTCGTAATATAAATATTCACAGTGGAAAAAACTTTGACGTGCATGCCATCTGCTCATGTGTGCACTCAACGTGCGTATCTCAGCCAAGAAACAGTGGGCTGAATTCAAGTTTACATCCCTTATATTTACATCCCTTATATTTCTAACGCAGCATGTCTTAGGGAGCGTGATAAAACTGTTGCAAACAAAACACCTCCTCATCAAAAAAGGCTAATAAAGTCTTCAATACACTTAAGTGTAGCCTTAAATAAATAGAATCCCCATTTCCCTCTGCATTGGTGTTCAGTTGTCCAAAGTGTATTGACGTAGTTATTGACATTCAATAAAGGGAAACCCTCTCAGCAAACCGCTGAGTGGTATAAATCCTTTACACTTCTTGAGTGTGCACAAGGACCAACTTTGCTTTAACACAATTACTAGACAGCAATAATGTCACAGTTTGTTCGAGCCCATTTTGATTTACAAGTGGACAACATGTTGCCTTTTCATCAGCTTATTATTATTAAGTGGTCCTCTATATATGTGTTTCCCCTGGACAATCACCCCCTCTTGTTTCACTCTTAGCAAAATATTGATCCTCCCAGTGTACCGGCCCCTCCTGATTTCATTAGGCTAGCTGCTGTTAATTACTCCACACTCTAACCTTTTGCTGTTTCATTTGGACCGACAAATTGGGTGAATTAAAGAAGGGAAGGTGGAAAGAGGAAAAAATGGGAAGGGAGAAAAAAAACTCCCTATCAGCTGTATGGAGAGCCCCCTCCTCTCTCTGTGGTGCTTGTGTCAGAATCCCAAGCGGCGTAATAATTAAAAAAGTTCATCAATTTTCTTTTTGCTCATCAAATTATGCAGAGGGAGGCTACTCCGGTAATTGTTGCAGAGGATTCATTTACGGAACCATACCAGCTTGATCTTGTGTGGTTATCTGGGGAATTGTAGAATGTTGCCTTTTTTCACTTCTTTATGTGTTTGTAAAAGATGTTGCAGCTTCAAGCATGATGATCATTAAAACACAGTTTACGCTTATTTATTTATAAGGATCATGTGGCAGACCAAAATGTGTTTTACACCCTGTTCCTGACACACCAATCTGTGTACTTAGGGAAGGTATTATAAGAGATGGATATGACACATGGCTGCAAAGTTAAAATTAGACTTTATTTAATACCTTATGTCATGAGATTACATGCACGGTGCATGGCATCTAAAGCATACTTAAATCGCAAGGGAATGTAATTGATTAACCACATGAGACTGGGAACCAGATGATGAGGACGATGCTTTTAATCCATGTTAAATCAATATACTGTAGCCACTTCCTACACATCAAGGGATTAT